ACTGGCAAGTACATATGTCCTATAGCAAAACAAAACAAAACAAAACAAAACAAAACAAAAATCCCCCCCAAAAAACTAAAAATTTTATAAAATGCTAACCCCCTTTTACCATATTTAATTGTTGGGCTTTAGGGATATTATGTGACCTATAATATATGCAATGCTTTTGACAAGTGCTCTAGGTTTTAACAGGCTTGATCATGTTATCAACCTGTAACACTTCCTGCAAACATTCTTCATGCCAAATGTTCATTGTTTTTTCAGTCACCGAACCAAGTTACTAATGTTGTGTTTTGGTTTGTTTTACAGTGATCCTTTTCTGTATGGCTGCCCTAATATTTCCAATAGGATTTTACATCAATGAAGTCGGAGGTCAACCGTATAAACTACCCAACAACACAGTGGTTGGGTCATCCTATGTACTTTTTGTCTTATCAATTTTCTTTACAATAGTAGGACTTCTGTTTGCTGGCAAAGTTTGTTTACCAGGCTGATGAATGTCTAAATTGCTTTGACTCTCTTGTTATTTTTTATTTTATTTTATTTTTTTATTTTCGGAGGGTGGGGAGGACAAAGGCAAGGCATCTGAGCAGTCCTCGTAGGAAGATGCTTAGATGAAACTGATGCTGACAAGGAAAAAATGCTTTGATTCGTTCTCACTATGCACTTTGGATTTAAAAAAAAAAAAATAAGGAGAGCCTTTTCCATAACCAAATACAGACAATATTGACTAAATCTCCTGAGCGTTTTCAGGCAGTCAGGTCTGCACTGTGATAGCAACCTAGTGAAGGAGAATGCTTTATATTGAAAAGCATGTGGCCCTTTGTGACACTATTCCGTTTTTAACGTCTAATGATTCATTTGAGAAGAAAAAAAATGTAAGTATTTATGAATCATGGTGGACCAGAGGGATGCAAGAGAAGTTCATGTGGGGCTGGCCTCACCTAAGAAATTAGTGTTCACAACTTCCTTGTAATGGTATAAGCCTTTGGCACCAGAATGGATTGCCGTTGCATTACTGCACCAAGAAGCCAATAGATCAACACTGTGTGTGTGTGTATGTGTATGTGTGTGTAAATTTATATACACGCACATGCAAATAGTTCCTGGAAGAGAACTCTGAATGCTTTGCTAGCAAAACACTGTGGTGTGCAAACTTAGAACTCAATAGAGAAAAAGCCATTAATCTGAAGGCTGCATAGTGGAGAGAGTCTTCAGTTTACCTCATTCTTTGTAGCAGCCCTTGATTTTAACAGGTTTTTGTAATAGGTACAAATAATCCCATACCTTTCTAGGTGCACTTTTAAGTTAAGCTAAAAATTCTTTGTAGGGTTAATTTATTTGTATATGATAGTAGAAGGTAAGATCATGTCAAACCTTATAATTTGGGGAATCTGACACTATTTAAATTATTGGCAACTGTTGTCTATTGTACAGAGATTCTTTTTTCTACTGGCTCAGTCTGTTACATTAATGATGCATTTTTATATGTTCAAGCACAGAATTTTACATAAATACAATGTTCACTAGTAAATATCTGGCTATTTTGGCTATTCACAACACTGATTTCACTCTGCCATAAACATTTAAATTTATGTTGTTTTCATTTTTAAGTATTATTAATACATCTTTACCAAAAACCTGAGCAATACAATATTTTCTTTCTATGCTACATGCCTTTTTTGCTAAAAGCTAACATTTTTGCATTTATTTTAAAGGGCTGTACTAAACCCACAGCTTTAAGTTTTTTCCTAAAAGAAGCATTACAGCTAACCCTTGGACTCACAGGTAGTTTAAAAATACAGAATTCTCTTCTCCGCATTTCCATGCCTTCATGTCAGTGCTTAGTTGTTTTTTCCTCATGAACACTAGAGGTGATCTCCTGTTTGAAATGTGGGGCAGGAGAGTGTTTTATGACATGGAGCTAAGTTTTTCCTTTTTATAGTGAAAGGGCAACCCAGATGTCCCTATCAGTAGAGTTAGGGTCCCGTGTAGTCCATATTTCACAAAGAAGAAATGAGTGCACCATTTTTAAAGAAACTAGATTATAACTTATAGAATGGCTGGTTCAGAGATGGGGCTACCTCCTCAGATACTCGAAGTACAATATGGAGGAGTTTGATGTGTTTGACACTGGCTTGTGGACATTCATATGTCTTACTGTTCATGCAGCAGTATTCTGTTGGGAAATACAACCCCAGGGTTTCAGCTTCCTCGGGAGTCCAGGGGAAGAGGTAGACCACCGTGGTGGTACATTCCTTGAGTGTTCTGAGGGATGTCATACTTCTCCTTCCCAGGGTAAGAGAAACCTTTGGGAAATCCTGAAGGAGTCTCCTCCTCCCTACCCCAAGTATTATGATGTCTAGTCGATTCTAAGAATACCACTGGACATGTTCTGTGGACATTTGGGATAGCTGTTCCCATTGTGATTTGGTAAGTCTTCTATCAAATGAATCACTTTGAGGGAAAGCTTTGGTTGTCATCATTATACCACTGAAAAAAAGTGTTAGCAAAGTATGGTTAAATTAATTTGTGATATGACCAAGAGCTTTTCTCTTCCAAAAGGCGAATTTTATTGTAAATAGTTTCTCAAAATATTTTTAACTGGATTATGAGCATGGGGAGAGAAAGTTTCTCAGCTGCTAAGAATTTCCCCACTGTTTACTTCTTTTACCTGCAGTGGTATTGCATCTACGATTACAAAATTGAAGGGTTTACTTGTATCTATTACCCAAACCATTGAGTTGTTTTTAATTTCATCATTGTCTTGGCGGTCCAGTGCATAAAGGGTTGATGGGGGGAAACTCCTAGCCAGTCAGCACTCTAACCCAGGATTAAAACCATCCCATCAGGTAGTATGTGAAGTCAAGTCTTTGTACTCTTCCAGACCAAACATTGAAATGGACTCATTCATACAAATTTCTATAAATCCTGTAAGTGAAAAGGTAGACAACTGTCAGCAGTTGCTTTTAAAAAGGTCACTATAATAAGTACTATATAGTACAGTATTAATTTATAGCAGGAAATCATATCTTGTAAACTGTATATAAAACACTGTTTTATGGTGCAATCATTTGTCAAAACTTTTGTCTGTTACATTGTTTTTAGTGTGTGTGCATTCCTCTCATACCTAAGAATATCACTGTACAATCTGCTGAAAACTATTTTTAGGTTTTATTTGCACAAGACTGAATTAGTTTGATATTTTTGGAAGCTCCTATTGAACATGCCTAAACATCTGTAAACATGAAAAATCTTCAGTTCATTGAAAGCAAATAATTTCCGAATGGTTCTTTCCAAAGGTAATCCATGTTCTATGTTGTTAACGTGTGTATGTAATTTTTCTGACTCTTCCACTTCTTATAAACCTACGTTCTGTTTCATTTATTTTCTTTTTGAAGGATGGCTGTGTTTTTTTGTTTTTCTTTTTCATGTTCTAGATGACCAAAATACTTTATTGGTTTTTACCCTTTTGCCTAAAGCTTTGATATCCCCATTCTGTGAGTTCACTGTTAAATCTCTGAAGTGAAATAATAAGTAGTCCTGGTGACAAACAATCTATTAATTTAGAGGAAAAGCCCTAGTAAAGTATTGGAAATTGACTTTGGTTATACTCTTAGCTCTTATTTTGCATCGTGGGCTTCATGGGAAGAACATGTTGCATTTATTTTGTCTTTATTAAAAGACTACTAGCCAAAAGTTACTCTGATTGTAGTAACTGTTTTATCAACCCACTTTGAGCTTCTTTAAAAAATTAAATTTACACTCACAAATCAAAACACTAAGGTGTCTTTCAGAAAATTTTTGAAGGATAAGAATATATGAAGGAACTCATGATTCAGATCTCTCAGATTAAATAGAATTCCTTACAAATGTCATATAAATCAAACCTTTCTCAAATAGCATCCTAATATCTCCAGCAACAGCCTAAACACTAATCGTTCTCTATTTCACAATCCTGGTTTATTTTTTAGGTAAATGATCATCATCTCAGATGATTTCATTCATTTTTTCCACTCATTGTCTCCTCCCTCTCCCAACACCACTAGAATATACATTCCAAAAAAAGCAGGTAGTAGTCTTGCTCAGCTCTATGTTCAGTATCTAGAAGGATGTTTTGGTATTAAGTATCACTCAATAAGTATTTGTTGATGAATGAAAGAATCATACATGGTGTTGCTCGGTTAGAATGATTTTGTAGATTTTTTTTTCTTTTTAAAAAATTTTCATTGCTAGAGGGCAAAAGAACTTGCCAGAGAGACAAACAGAGACAGAGAGAGGGAAGGAGGGAGACAAGAAGAGGCAAGCACTCTCCCCAATGGGGTGTGGTCACATTGCAATCCCTTCCCTCCAATTCTCCATCCGATCAGGATGTGGGGCATGCCCATACATGCACCCAGTACATTTTTTAAGCCACTAGGGTTTGGATTAGAAACCATGTGGGATTCATTTTTTTATACACAGTGATTAACCTGCTATACTATGGAGCTGTCCTGATTTTGGAACCTTTAATAATCTAGACACTATTAGTTTACTCCAATTACATCTCCCGTATTGGTTTTAATTTTACTTTCTACATTTGTCTAAAGCCATGTAATAGATTCGATGTTTAAACATGAGTTTTTATGTGAGTACTTTGCTATTTGCCATAATAAATATTTCTATGTGACCATATAAGCAATATAATAAAGTACACTAAGGATAATAATTAGACTAATATATGAAGGGGGAAAAATGGCCTGTGTAGGTAGAATTTCCTATACAGGACTTCTTGTTGTATCATCTTAAGAGACTTTAAAGTGTGTGATCAAGGTCTGTATATTATCCCAAACTTTATTAAAAGTTGTTTTCTAATTGGTTATAACATTTTTCAATTAATAGTTTCAAAACAAATTGTTAATACAACTGTATAAAATGAACATAATTTTCTTCACTTGTATTTTTGTTATTGAGCAAGTTTATCAAAATAAATTGTCTACTAAAGAAACTAAAAAAAGGCTTCTATTACTTTGAAGTAGGCTTTGGTTTTAAGAATTGGTTTAATGTAAAGGTTTCACATATTCCTGCAGTGACATGTCTGTGACTCTTGGCTTGGTTTTGTTGTTAGCCTAGGTAGGGGTAGGAGGGCCTCTCCTCTTTTCTCCAACTCCCACTCCGACCTCACCCCTAGGGAAGAGATGCCGTTGATATTCTTGAACATGAATTGGGCCATGATTACCCATAGAGTCACTCATCCTTTAAAGTCTACATACATGTGACTCTCTTCTGCATCATGTTTCTGTGAGCCAGGAAAAAGAAATTGGGCCAAACTGCTAAAGGCAGACTTCTTTCTTTCTTGCAGATGGACCTAAGTCTATTACTTCAATCTTCTATTTCCTCTTTACTGCAAACCAAAGGATCTTAGGCTCAATGATTTAAAAATATGGGTTGGAAGAACAATATAGAAACCCTTGGTCTTTAGACTCATCTGTGCGCCCCATCACAGGGTAGCAATCAGGGTTAGCCC